CTAACACACCTTGCCTGGCTGTTTACTTACAAGTTGGAAATATGAGAGACTTGTTCAGAAAGATTTGGAGAGCCTGGATTGATGTCTGGTCCCTCTCAGTCCCAAGAGCGAACAACCCGCAAAACCAAGAGCACAAACAAAAGCCTTCCCCCCACCAAGATTTGAAAGTATCTTGTCCCCTTATTGGTCCTTTGGGTCAGATGTCGGCCAGGTTACCTGAGCTTCTTAACCCTTTACAGGTAAAAGGATTTTGGAGTCTCTGGCCAGGAGGGATTTTATAGTACTATACACAGGAGGGCTGTTACCCTTCCCTTTATAGTTATGGCAACCTCACTTTGTTATTATGCAAAAGTGTGATGCACTCCAGAGGCAAAAATTAAAAAAAAAAAAAAAAAAATAACACTAAAAATGGCTTCAGCTAAAGAGACAGAAGACCTTTCCTCAAATGATCTGGACACCCAGGAAATATACTACACCATTTCAGGAGAAAGGCACATTTCAACATGGTCAGCCTTTACATCAGCATTACACAAGGTGCCAGAGTAAATGATTCTTGTACGTATCATGCCAATCATACCTCCTAGCCCCACTGGTTGCTCAGTTCAGTTAATTTTCCTTATGCATCTGAAATGCATGCACAAATACGAGTTAACCACATACTACCTTGCAAGAAAAATGTTCCGGCAAGTGAATTGCTCAAAGAATTTCATCATCGCATGGTGTAATGAAGCTGCTGCCTCATATTGTTCAGTGGAGTTTCTTCTTAGTGCCTATGAGGAGGCTGACACTAAAATTATCTTGCATGCCACCAACGTAACAGGGAGGTGCTAACTCTGGATTTTGGCACAAGACAGATGTTCTAGTGCTCTCTGAGAGATGCTACCAACGAGTTTCACAAGATTCCATATTTTTGCCTGGTTCTGAGGAACATAATCACTGTATACCCCTCAGGGTTTGGTCCTATCACTTGGTCCGTTAAAAGCTACTGTACTGCCAGGTTTCCACTCCACTTCAGGATGTGACATTACTGTAAGGCTGACTGGAAGGACCAAATTATCTTACTGGAAGCCATTTGATTCAGCCTCTGAAGATTCCTTCTCACTCTGAAGGTGCTTGGGAAAAGCTGAGACAGTCACTGATGAGGTCATAAATGTACTGGAGGCATTCATATGCAGTTTAACATTTGAAGACCAACATTACAACACTTGCAGAGCTATGCTGGTGGATGTTTTTCAAGAAGCAGACAAACGAAAAAATGCGCCACCGACATAGGGTGAATTTATACTTGCCATTAGAAGGGCAAATTACCAAGCAACATAACACATCAGGGATGATTAACCGCATCCAAAACTACCCTCCCCTATATGGCATGAATGAGTTTCGGAGGGATGGATTTATCACACCAGTTATGTGTGAAATACCATGTGGTCCCAAATCAATCCTTCAGCTAATCAAATGCTTCTGTACAAAGACCAGATTCTCACTACCCTGCAAATGTCTGGTCAGCAGCCTGCCTTGTACGGAGAGTACAAGTGCAGCGTGGATGAGGATCAGTGTGACTGTGTGTCTAGCAGTGGTGACCTACTGATTATGACTTTGATGAATAAGTGTTTTCAGTCCTACATGTCACGGACAACTTCCCTAGGATTAGCCAAAAATCAATGTGGTTTTTTTTAGGTAAGCGAAGTATACTGGTATTAAATTTCCTAGAATATATTGTTAGGATATAGATATTCAGGCCTGTCTGCAAAAACCTATACTTCTAGTCCCATTGAAATAAGGTGCTATTGGGCTGTTAGGAATACAATCCTGTCCTGATATTCCTATCACCTCCAGAGAAAGGGAAGAGCCTAGAAGATGTAAAAGGAAACTTAAGTTTGATAGCATCCTGTCTGGCAAGAACTCACTTATGAATAGCTGGGATGTGAAATCCTCATTTCTTTGTTGTTCTATCACTCTAGTCCCCATTTCCCTATTGTTAGTCTGTATAATCTCTGTCTTGTTCTGTAATTGTCTGCTGTATAATTAATTTTGTTGGGTGTAAACCAATTAGGGTGGTGGAATATAATTGGTTAAATAATTATGCTACAATATGTTAAGACTGGTTAGTTAAATTTCAGTAAAATGATTGGTTAAGGTATAGCTAAGCAGAACTCAAGTTTTACTATATAGTCTGCAGTCAGAGGAAGTAGGGGGGGGAGAATGGGAACAGGGACACAGACAAGGCTCTGTGGTGTCAGAGCTGGGAAGGGGAACACTGAGAAAGGAAACTGGAAGCTTGCTGGAAGTTCATCCCAATAAACATTGAATTGTTTGCACCTTCAGACTTCGGGTATTGTTGCTCTCTGTTCATGCGAGACGGACCAGAGAAGTGAGAGGGTGAAGGAATAAGCCCCCTAACACATATATCTACCTAACTGTTCTAGGTTTGTCATGTTTGGTATCACTGTTTTCGTGGGACAAAGAGCTTTCAAATTATACCAAACTCAGTACAATGTCGTTGGAAATGGGTTATCAAAATTTCCACCAACTGTAGGACATGGAGCTGGGGAGAAAGGGATTAGGGGGATCAGTGAGCATGTCCCCTCTGCCACGTGGCAAAGGTTGACGCCATTGAAATTATGATTATGTAGATTTTTGTGAATCAAATGACACCCCCACTTACCTTTCATTCATTAACTTGCCCATAAAATGAGATTTTACTACATTACCCCCCTAGACTGAATAAGATCCAATGGCTAAAAGTTGACCGTAAACAAATTCAGATGAAATAAGATGTACATTTTTAACAGTGAGAGAATTAACCTTTGGAACAACTTACCAGTGGTTGCGGTGGATTCTCAATTATTGGAAATCTTTCAATAAAGATTAGTTTTTCAAAAAGATATGCTCTAGTTCTAATAGGAGTTATTTCAGTGAAGCTCTAGTTTAGGGCCTACGTTATATAGATCAGACTAGATGATCACAATGGTCCATTCTGGCATCAAGATGTATGGGCTATATGAATGCTTAGCTTGCAAGCAGGCTGAGGTGTAAATCTACCCCACACTAGCCTCCCAGACACTAAGTATCCATGTAGATCCTGCTACTACACACTAAAAGTTCCATAGGTGCTTTGATCTAAGCACACTACAGAATTCTCAGTTTGTGGCAGCAGGTTCCACACAGACACTTAGTGCATGTGAAGCTAACATGAGGTAGAGTTATACCCCTATTTACCAAGAATTAGGTGGTCATACAGACAAGACCTATAACTCAGCCAAACCTGAACAAAGTTTCACAGGACATGCAAAAAGCACATCTCTATCCCCAAGGATTTATTCCTGGATCATCTCAAAGACCAGTTGCATACAATTGATGTGTTGACACCTTCTCA